AAATTTAAAATAATTTTTTTAAATTAAAAATTTTATAAATAATTTTGTCTTTATTTTTTATTTAAGAGTAAATTTATCCCTCTTACTTTACCTTTTTTAAGGTGGATTTTGATATTCTGTCTGAGGAGAAAGATGATTTTATTGCAAAGTCAAGAATTTTCTCTTCTCCCCTTTTTTGTGAGTGTGGACTCGCGTAAAATTAGTTGGGCTGCGTTAAACGTGGATTCGACTAATATAGTTTCACATTTAAAATGAAGCCGAAAAAGTATTGAAAAATAGTGTGGGCTCGGCTAGGTTAATCTTAGGGCCGAGCATAAGGTTTATGCTTCCTCTTTTTCTAGAATAGGTTAAGTTATTTTTAAATTTGTATAAGAAGTTATAATATTTAATAAGAACGTAAGTATACCGATAGGTATACCTAATTCAGTGAGTTAGGTAATATGTCAAGATTTTTAATATTTAAATAAATAGTCTATCAAAATCTTGTATTTGTTACTATTCAAGTTAAATATAAATATTTCCAAACTAACCGATTTTGGAGTTGTGATGTGTTATATCCTTATACTTTTTATACTATTAAAAAAAATTAAATATAAATATAAACAAATGTCTTATTCATATATGTATTTGCTTATCCCTATTTATTCTTAGTATAAGATTACACTAAAGTTTCATAAAAGTGATGTACAATCTCCCAATATTGTAGGATTTTATAGCCATCCACAAAGAGCAAAACCTAAATATTAGGTTTAGAGACACATTTGCAATGTCCATCAACATCTTTATTTGCAGCAATTTATTTGCATGACCTCGGTACACTGGATAACACCATTTGCTTGGGTATATGCATAACTCTGACCCTGCTTTCATAGTGATGGTATGGTGATCACTAACTCTAACCAATTTGTCATTAATTTTATCTTTATTTATAATTTTATTAATTTATAATTTTTTAAATAGTTAATTATAATATTTTTATAAATTAATTTTAATTTATTTGTTATTTAAATAGTTAATTATAATATTTTTATAAATTAATTTTAATTTATTACATAACAAATATTAATATTTTATTAATTATTGTTAATAATTAAATTAAGATAAAATTAATGATAAATTGGTTACCTAACGAAAGTAGTGATGGCAATAAACATTGCCTCCTTTCATGCCCCGTGATCAGCCATCGGGGGTGACCTTTCAAATTTACACAGGTTATTACACATATTATTTAAAAAAAAAAAAGTTATTGGTCTTTTTTTACAGTATTAGAGATTCTACTGATGACATTAATCTCTTTAAAGATCAAAAGTTTAGGTAATCGGACTTTGGAAACAAGGGGATTTCCAATTCTACAAGCCCATAATTCTTTAGGATGTTTAATTTCTCTATTTTTGATTTTCTAGTGTTGGTCAAATTTTGACCCAAAATTATTAATTTCAAATTAATTTTCTTGTTTTTTATACCAGTATCATATAGATTTGAAGGACACAATCCTTCCAAATACCGAAGGATATTAAGCTGAATTACTTCGCAAATAAATCAACAAATCTTCATCTAATTTCAGATTTCTAACTAAAATTCAATCAAATCTCTAAAATAAACTACCGTTTGGTTGCCAAGAAAGACAAGGAAAATTAATAAATAAGAAAAAAAAAATCAAAACGAACAGATTATGAAAATAAAAAAACTGTACCAGGAGACAGGTAGCACAAGTGCAAGAGCATAAAAGCCGCACCAGCGCTGTTTAAAACTGGCCAGATGCTTAATTTATGCTTCGGAAACATGAACATCCCTCACTTTCATGAAAAGAGAGAGTTCACCAGTAAGAAGCAACTCAAATCAAGATCGGAAAAGAAAAAAACAGATTTGTTTCGAAACAAACACGAAATGTCGCAATCCAAACATTTCACAAGCTACGATCATCGCGGTGATGCATAGCTTTGACCCAAAAAAAAAGGAGAGACGGAAAGGATTGCGGATGATTTACGCTTTCGTTGACGCGCCCCTCTGGAATTTGTAAAGCCAGTGAAGAACGCAACGCCTATCGAAAGCAATTATCCAAAAACACCATAGTACAACGAAATGAAATCGGAAAAAAAAAAAAAAAAAAAAAAGAAAACGAATAACTAAACTTAGATCTGAAATCCCCGATCTCAGCTCGCGAACAGAGGGCGGCCATCGTGCACTTTCTTGTCCACTGCTCCGGTCAGGGATGGAGATTTAGATTTTATAGGCGAAGAAGGGAAGCGTAGAAGAGAGCCCTAGACAAAAACTGCCATGTCAGTTACTGGACTGGGCTTTGTCTGTTCTAGTCTTGCCCAAAAAGATTGAGTCCAATAATGGAAACTAAAAGCCCAGAACTTTCTCATTTACGAATTACTACAATGCAACCCAGAAGCCCAAAAAGGAATCCGTAAATGAAGAAAATAAAACTGCCCCCACGCAGGATCGAACTACGGACCTTCAGTTTACAAGACTGACGCTCTACCACTGAGCTATAGGGGCCATTTGCTTCAATGGATTTATAATTATTTTATCTACCATTTTCTTAATAGTGTTGTGGGCTTCTGATTTATTATAGATGAACTACATTTATAGAGTGTTGCCTCTTGAGCTCTGAAATCTGCAAACATCACGCCCACAAGATAACGATGGGCAGGAAAAGGCAAGAGCATGTGCAAAGCCTACATATCCCTAAATTCTATCTAAGCCTTCTAGTTCTATGGCTCTCTATCTACCCACGTCAAAACAAGCTTTAGCATCTCCCTTTGTTTACTCATCTCCCCCCTTTCATTTTCTGTTCTTTTCAACATGTTTCGATAATTGATGACAGCAAATAATGAAGTTGATTATCCATTTCAAAGAGACGACCCAAGTGCAAGGCATTGTTTTAATATCTTTGTTGTTTCCATCAATGCTTGAAAAATCCAAGGAAGTGTGTGTGTGTGGATATGAATGTTGCCAATCATACAAGTATCTAGTCATTTCATCATGCTATTCCACTATTTCTTAAGATAAAAAGTGTGTTTTTTATTGTCTTCTCTAAGTATCCATTTGAGCACAAAATGGTATCTTCATGAAGAAAAATATAGTTTGAAACTCTAAACTAAAATTATAAATTTTAACTAGAAGATAAGTTATTGACAATTTAAAAAATAGGACTATTATTAATTAGATGTACCAAAATAACTCTTGTTTATGATTTTGATGAGTTAACAAATCTTTCAACAAAAAAAAATGATTTACCTTTAATATATATTTTTAGGTACATCACATGATAGATTATATAAAAATATTATAATAAGTTAAATTAAAAAAGTCTGATATTAACTATTACCGTAAGGTATGATAATAATTATACTCTAATGACTAATACCAT